TAGTAGTAGCAGCAGCTGTACAGCAGTAGCAACAGTAGCAGCAGCAGCTGTACAGCAGTAGCAACAGTAGCAATAGTAGCAGCAGCAGCTGTACAGCATTAGCAGCAGTAGCAGCAACAAAATTCTGCATTCGCCCTTAACGACGACCACAACTGGACCAGATATTAAACTGATGATCAGTACAGATACGACACTTGATCTATTTTTAGCCAAAAGGCCGAGAAAGGTATAATGACGACACAACTAAGTGTACAAAAAATTATGAAATTGAATACCATCAACCAACCAACCAAAATGACAGTAACCCCATCCTCTCTGGGTCAGGAGCAAGCGGCAGGTCCCTGTGGGCCGGGGGCACGACTAGGACCAGATGTTCAGGAGAGCAGAAGCACCATCACTTGGAATAGAAGCTATAACTACGACTAAAAAGACTGAAGGAGAATCATGTAGCAAATGGGACTACCGTAGTATCACGCGCCTCACCAGAGGCTGCACCCAAACTCACTTCACACTCCCAACTTCGCAGCAGCACCACACTTGGCATCAGGTGAGTACTTCAACTCCCCCCCCATCCCCCCATCACGTCTTCTCCTCGACTCCCTCTTCACAAACTCTTCAAGCGATCAATCCAAGTCTCTTCGCTAGTCGGGTTGCACCCCAGGCAAGGCTCGCTCGCACGTATCTCTCCTGATGAGTCGGTGAAACTCTGAGGAAACAGTCTGACTCAGACTGATAGAACACCTCGTTCGTTGGCTGTCCTTTTCTCGTTCTGTACCTACGTTTCGTCAGTCCATGTTTGTCGCCCTTTGATGAAGTCCGTCCTCGCTGCCATAGCTAGTCTTTTGACTCTTTGCGCAGTCTTGTTGTTTCTATGTTGTTGACTTCCCATTCCGGTCTTGATCACGACCAGGTGTACATGAATATATTGCTACGGCCAGGCAATATCAATATCAATATATTAATGTACCTGGTAGTGATCACGACCGGAATGGGAAGTCCACAACATAAAACCAACAAGCTTCGGTAGCTATGGCACCGAGGACGGCCTTCATCAAAGCGCGCCAAGCATGGACTAGCGACTCGTAGGTACAGAACGAGAAAAGGACATCCACCGAACGAGGTGTTCTATCAGTCTGAGACTGTTTCCTCAGAGTTTCACCGACTCATCAGGAGGCTGAACAACCCTCAATCAGTAGTACTCGACTCGTCAGGTAGTGATCCCTTTCTCGTCCCTTCCTACATGTAATCGCCTTGCTCGGCGCGCATTGTGTGGTCAGATTTACATCTCCACCAGAGACACACAGATGCCCCTTTTTCCAACTCCTTGTTTGCATGCACTGCTCAAGACGGCGCTACTCGATTCCTGTTGCCTCCTTTTCACCCTTTTTTTTTTTTTTTTTTTTTTTTTTTTCCTCCTCCTCCTCCTGCTCGCTGCCTCCCGTAGTCTTTCCTCTGAGTCACATCTTACTAAATGGACGGGCACGAAGTAACTTAAACAAGACAAAATAAATAATGAAATGCATACAAGCTATCTTTGCGGCTCGATACGGACAGCATGGCGATGTGCGCTCTCAGTCGGAGGAAGGAAGGCAAACCTACCACGCGGCTGCGGACATTCCCTCTTCGATCTTTCTCCCCTTTTCCCCCTTGTTCACAGTGCCGCCATTTTTTTTTTTTTTTTTTTTTTTTAATTAATATGGACCGTTTCTCGATTTATGCGTGTCATCCCTGCGCAGGGACAATTTGCTAATTTACCCTTCTCTGTATCGTTCCAATTTTAACGGATGTCCCGAAGGACCGTGCCGCCATCCATCCGCCTTCTGACCACGAATCGACGTGACTTGCACTACCCAATAGTATATAAACGAGGAATAGCCTTGATAATCCTAATAATAGAACAAACCATAATACAGTAGTATCCAGACT